ACACACACACACACACACACACACACACACAGGAAGATTTGCCTCCCAGAGAAACATCTGTTTGTTATAATCCCTGTTGCTTTCAGAGCTTGATTGGGTGACCCACTGACCTGCCTTAACGTCTGAGCTAAGAGATGAGACCATGGTTCAAACCACAAGTTGGGTGTGAACAAATGCGATCTCACTGTCACATTACAGGCATTTGGCCGATTTGTAACACATTTAGCTGCATGGCATATAAACTTCTTAAGTCTTGATGGCAGACAGGCTTGTGACCAAATATCTAGTTTCAGGCTACATTCATACTACTACGTTTTGCATAAAAAGGCATCAACTCTGTCACATTTACGTCTGTTGTCCGCTCTACTCTGTAGTTTTATAGCCAATAAAACTGAGACGTTTTAAGGAAAAGGGGGTACTTCTATACAGAAAATACTTTGACATATGTCACGATGTTGTTGTTGTTGTTGTTGTTGTTATATCCCTGGATCTCTGATTACCACAGTGAGAACAGCGTGTGCTCAGCAGATGGTCTACGCGTGCTCTGTCATTTTGTTGCCCTAAATTTAAGTTTGGCTCTTTTCCTTTTGTCACATTTCTGCTCTTGAACTCCAAGATGCCACACATTTTACGAGGGTGATAACCCCACAGTGCTCTAATAACTGTGCACCCACAGTGTGTCTGCAGTAACTGAGCGGACACACAGATAACCCAGTCGGCAGTGAAAGCAGGTTGTTCAATGTACTTTTTTGTGTGTTTTCAAGTGAGGGTGATCTTCAGTCGTGTGCCTTGTCCTGTTGGTTAGCTCTCAGGGAGAAATTAGATCTCCGTCATCCCTCCTTCTCAGATTGTGGACGATAAAAGCCAAATATCCCAGTGGAGATTTTATACTCTCCCTCGAGACAACAGCGCCCTGAATACAGTTTAACATTCCTGCAGAGGGTTAATGAGTAACACAAAGGAGGGGCCTCTGAAAGCACACCAGTCCACACACATTTGCTCATGACATTCATATAACAGTTTATTCTATTCTTGTCGAACTTATCACCCTAAGTTATATTATGTGTATGTATTTGATATATACACATAATATAAATCCTAAGGCTTAGTGGTGATCAGCCTGATTATTTCTATTATGCATTTCTAGGATCTTGAATTCTGTTTACCATGAATTTACACTAAAGTACACCTGAAGAATGTGAACATTATATACTTTTGAATGGAAACAGTGGAAATGGAGGTTTTTGTATGGACATGTCTTTACTCATAGAGAAGATTTACTTTTGCTCATGACTTTGTTTACCAAGCACATCAGACATTGGGTTACGTCAGCTTTGAGATTAGTATACGATTACATTGACTCATAGTTGAATTGCTTTCACTGAAACAGAAACGGAATCCTTCAAAATGTGCCTTACATTTGGTCTCAGATACTAACTGATGCTTTGTAAGTAGTATGTTTGGCCTCCGAACTTTTGTTCCCAGGCTGAGATCAGCTGTAATCGGACACCGTAGTACTTACTTGATTCTTATTGTTCTGGGTTTGTTCCCTCAAGGTTGATGCACTTATTATAAGTCACTTTGGATAAAAGTGTCAGCTAAATGATAGGTAATGTAATGCAACTGTAAATGCACAGAAACACAGGCATTTTACAGCTGATTCCTACATTTATGGATGTTGTGTCAGTAGGTTTCACCTGCAATCTGCATTATTGTGAATGCAGAACATGTGATAGTATCAAAGGAATGGAAAGACTAACTACAGTAAATCTATTGGTGCTCTTCTGAGCTTCAGTGTTCGACTTTAGCCGATCTTTTTATAAGGCTTTTAAAAATACTATTTTACATTACAACCAGATGTCTCAGGCTATAATTTTCTCAAAAAGTCACAGGCTGGGATTCAAAACCTCAAGTGCAGTGTGTTCTTAGTACATAGTAATTAGTTCTTCATTTAGTGAAAACAAACCCCAGAGCGCTGAGAGGGTAAACATCGTCAGAGTTCCTGCGTGTGACTTTGCTGCTCTCAGAGGAAGACATCAGGAAATGTACAGTAGGTTACGTTCTCGCTGTCTATTCATCTATCAAAGTCTAAGAAACTATTTGAATCAATAGATGGAAGGTATGTGGCCATAAAACACATAATGAAGTGGTACCAACGCCAAATATTTTCTGCACGACACATCTGCTTTCAGACATGCACTGAACTCCAGAGGTCCTCCACAGTTTTTGGGAGGAGGTGTGTGTGTGAACGCAAATGTCCAAGTGAGTGCTTTTGGTTGTTTTCTTTCTAAATTGGGTCAGGTGATAGGAGCCTGATGAATCAGAGAGGGCTTTGTCGTGACCTAAAAGACCCTATTAGCAGCCGGGTGTGAGTGTCTATGTCATCTCTGTTTCAGCCTGTCCAGACTTGGAGTTTACAAACTAGAACAGGGCCAGACGCGCTTCCAAGCTAGAGGCTCAGAAACTTTGACTAGTGTGAATGGCAGGTTTATCAGTGTCAGAGTTAATTAGTTTTCAACCGATGTAATGTGGATGTAACCTGAGTAAAAATGTGTTTACAATCGTGATTTCTGTAACCCACCAATGTTTTTTGTCAGCTGCCTTGTTCTGTCAAAACAAATCTATTTCTCATTCATATTCTATGATGTATCATCATTGGTCATATGAGATCCTCATGTTGATGTAGTGATGAAAATAATGATTCCGTCTCCTCTGTTGTTTTTGTTTTTTTTCCTCCAGCCCAAAGCTCTTGGACAGGCGCTCCTCTCTGAGGTTTTCCACAGAGGCAACCTCATCGAGAGTGATTACTTTGGCCTCGAGTATCAGAACATGCAGTTGAACTGGGTATGTACGCCAGGAAGTGTGTCTTTAGTTTCCTGTTTGAAACGGATACATTGAAAATCCAGGAACTGACAAGCAAACTGATTACATGTGTCAGTTAAGTATTGAACAGCAAATGTAGAAAACATTTTGAAGGTCAAAGGTCACAGCGTGCTGACAGAAAGACTCAAGTCAGGGAACAGGACCAGCCTCTGAGTCATTCCTCTGCTACTTCTAGCTTCCTAGCTTTCTGCAGCACACACAGTGAGGTCGTATTGTTTTCACTGGACCTGAGCAGTATATAATCTCAGCATATTTTTAACTCATCTGACACATGTGCCCATATGTCAGACTTTCCATTATGTTATTCTTCCAGAAACATAAGTGGAATTCAAGACCACCTACAACTTTTAGTAAAGCAATAGAGAAGAGATGAAACGTATTCTTCAGAGAGAACAGAGCTGGTGTGGTTTAGTAAACAACACATCTGTGGCTCTGCAGTTTTAAATGAAAATTTTCCATTAACAAACTAAATGTTTAGCTTCTTACTCAATAATGCAGGATATTTGGATGAGGGATATTCAGAGTGATTTGTTTGTCTGATATCTGACATTAGAGCTTTGCTCGTCTTTGGTATGACTTCCAAGGCAAACAATGCATGTCAAAGGAAAAACACACCGCTAGCCAGTTAGCCAGGCGGCTGGTTTATCCTTCTGCTGTCTGTATTTGTCATTTGTATTGGATCATGATTATTCATTGACAAAAACATTTAACCAAAGTATAAATAATAAACAATAGAACACAAAGATTCACAAATCATACATTCATGTGCAGCACTGCTGTGAACACAGTTAAACTGACTAAAACAGACCAATAGACCTAAACAAAAACTATTTATCAAACAGCTTAAAGGTCCAGTGTGTAAGATTTAGGTGAAAGAAAGAAATTGAATATAAAATAGTCCTAGTGATGTTTTCACTGGTGTGTAATCATCTTAATTGTATGAATTGATGTTTTCTTTACCATAGAATGGGCCCTTTATATCTAAAAAACTTTATATTTACATGGAGGGGGGTCCTCTCTGTGGAGGCCGCCATGTTTTTTATTCTCGTACAAACTGGACAAACCCTGATTTGTAGATAGTGAGAAGTTTTAATCTTTTGAGGTTTCATGACAACCGAAGTTCACCACAGGTTCTCTTTCATGTTTGGAAGGGGAGTGTGAAATGACGAGTATTCAGCTGCAACATGCAACCTCACCTCTAGATATCACTAAATTCTACACACTGAACCTTTAAACCTTCTAACGAACAGCTTAACAAACATCACGCTGTGTATTGTGTATACAGATGGATGAGTATATCTATACTTTTCTTGAATTTATTTTGATCCCCTGACCTGCATATGTGTAACTATGAGCTGAGAGAAGAATTGAGGTAAATACCAATCTCTACCAAACTCAATATATCATTCTGGATCAGGGACATTCCTCCCTCTATTGGGCCCAGATGTAATAAGACAGACTGAGGGTTTGTAGCCAGCGTTTGCCCACAAGATTGTGGCAAAACATTGCCGCATATCTGTGCTATCATCTAGATGCTAACACAATATACAAACTGTGTGTTGTGAAAGAGTCATATAAGATAAAGCTGTCATCACCTGTCACATTTTTTAAAAATATCTCATAATATTGGCACAATGATACAATTTCTTTCCTTTAGGTTTGGCTGGAACCCACAAAACCCATTTTTAAACAAGTCAGAAGTAAGTGAGATCAACTATTAGCTCAGGTTCCCTCTAATGGAAATGTGCATTTGTGTTGATGATGTGTTTTCATGTTTGTTTTTCAGGACCAGCAAATACCCTGTTTAGACTGGCAGTGAAATTCTTTCCTCCAGACCCTGGTCAGCTGCAGGAGGAGTACACAAGGTCAGTGACTGTAATTTCCTACTGGATATTACATTTATCTCTTGCATGTGCAGAAGGGCTTTTCTTTACTCTTCAGAAGCTCATGATTTTGGCTTCAGGGCATTCTAGTATTTGTCCTCCCAAAAATGTTTTTCTAAAAATGTAACTGCACTGAGTGAGAAACCCATGCATGTGTCAATGTTTGTATTTATTTTCCTTTAACAACCAACTCAAGGTATCACACTAAGGTTTCAATGCAGGATTCACATTTGTAAAATTTGACCTTGTGTAACATCTGACTTGTGTGCTCTCATGTTTAAGGTGGAGTACAGGGATATAAGTTTTTCAATTACTCTTGACATATGTCGTCAGTCTAGCGGCTGTATAACTCTGTAAATAATAACCTTTTGGAAGCAACTGCACAATGGGGAAAAAGCGGCTGCTCTGAAAAACGGCACAGCCTTCTTCTTTTTCTTAAAATGAAAAGATAACCGGGGATGTGGATGTGTACACACAGTATTGTAGTTGGGCATGCCCAAGTCCAAGTGACTTTATGCACTCTACTCCACAAGTTGTGACGGTCCCCTCAAATTACATAAGGGTCTTCCCTGTTTTCCTTGTGTATAAGTATTAAAAACTTCAGTGAGAGGATGAAGAGAAAGAAAATGGTCAGAAAAAAGAGATAATCCTCATGAGAGAATTGTGTGAACAAATCTCTCCTCTCCAAGTGGAATGTCAGCAAATAAGTCATTGCAATTTGATTAGCATCTCTCTCTGTACATGTCAACTGTTTTTAAGAAGACTTTAGAATTATTCCTAGTCATTTGGGGGTCCTCCTCAAACAGTTCTACTATATACTGTCACTTTTCATTGTTTGTGTGCCAGACGTTGTGTGCAGAGCATTAAACAGTCTTTGCTGCAGAGTAGAGTAGAAAATTTTGTTTTCATCATTCCCAGTTTACCTGCAGTTAAGATTTTATTGTCACAGTTTTTTATTAATATAAATTAGTGGCTTTTCTCTTGCCCAATCATGGTGCTTCTTTTTGGCTCTTGATCTCTTTGGCTGTTCCTCGGACAATGATGGAGCATATGCAACTGTATCGCTGCCACCACATTGCCACCAGCAGCAGTTGCCTCCATGCACTAACATTTGCCCCACCTCCCCCTGTTGCTGATTGGCTGGGATAGTGTTGTTTTGCCGCATCCAAACCACTTTGTTGCCCATTTACAGAGCCTGGACCATATAGTCACACACACACATGGAGAGTGGACAGCTAGCTGACAATCAGGAGATATGTTAATTGATTTAAGATGACTCACTCCACCTTTAATATATAAACAAGTTTGTGATTTAAAAAGTTAATTTAAAGAGTTGTTACATGATTTAACTCATTAAGAAGCATGATTTCGGATTATTTCCTCATGAACAAAAATGCTTGACCTCTGTATTTTTCTTCGTAGGTATTTATTCTCCCAGCAGATGAAGAGAGATTTGATGGAGGGCAGGTTGATCTGCACAGAGAATACTGCAGCCCTGTTGGCATCTCACCTTGTCCAGTGTATGTTTAAGCTGTTATTGTAACTACAATGTTAAGAGTTAGGGTTTGTTCTGTAATTATTGTACATATATTGTACCAGATGAAAACAATTATCTTATAGTAATGGTTGCATTTGAAATGTTTTGGACAAGAAAACTTTGAGACAAGAATACAAAGGCATACAGTTCCAAGTGTATTTTAATGAGAAATATTCAACCCTAACATTGAAGGGTCCATTCAGCTCTATTACATAAACAACATTCTATGTCATCGAACTTTGAAATTAATTGCCAATCAAAACAAATGTGTTCAAACACAGAATCAATAGACTTTTCTAAATAGATCTTTACATCAATGTACACAGAAACAGATATTTCTTACCCCTTCCTCTTCTCCACAGCGGAGATTGGTGACTATGACGACATGGCAGACAGAGACTACCTGAGGGGCAACAAGCTGCTGCCTTACCAGGAGAAGGTGCAAGAGAGGATCATGGAGCTCCACCGCAGACACCTGTAAGTTGCACCGCCTTGACTATATGACACCTTGTTTGATGTTGAGATGTGTGTTGTTCCCTTCATGTTTCCATGTTGCATTCTTAGTGCTGCTCATTTACCTGACTGTGAGTGTTGTGACCTTGTTTGTTGTTGCCACATAGTCCCTTTTCCACTAGTCAAAAAAACTCACTAACACCTCACATCTGGCCATTGTCTGTAATGGTAATGGATTCAATTGGCATTCACTCTCGGGTCAAAAGACTCTGAAGCTCCGGCTCTGATCGACTCTTATGGAAACAAAACAATAGGGTGAACATGCTAATTTGGTAACACATTGAGGTGAGAGAGCACCTCAGTCGCCTCGTCACAGTGCGTTTGTGACCTCAAACATGACGCACCTGCGAAAAAAGCAGAAAGGCAAAGTGCTACTGTCAATGGGAGATAAGTCAATTGCCTTTTGTAAGTGGGTTCACCCGCATTCAAATTTCCTGCTAATTTTGGCATTAAAATGTTTTGGTCAAACCAGGAATTAGCAGTGAATCAATCACCTCAGTCAGAAAGTCAAAGTCTGCACCTCTTCCAGCTCCTTCAAACAATTATACAGATCCAATTAAGTTAATATTTACTGCTGCAGTGTCTCATAGCAACCACAGAAAACACCAGCTGAGTACCAGGCTGCAACAGATTGTTCTGTCTTCTGCTGACTTCACACTTGTGGTCAACTCTCCTGTGCACATTTCATAATATTCTTTATCATTTATAATCTTTGCTATGCCTCTTAAAATATAGTAGAGTAAACACTTAAAATTATAGCTACTTCTTTTAATTATTGTAAAGTTGAGTACATTTACAATATATACCAGGTGTAGTAGAGTAACCCTTTAGCTTGAGAGTAAGTTAACTGTAACTGTGATTGATTCCTAACTCCTGATACCATGTTAAGCCAGTTTTAAGCCAGTTTACTGTGACGTCGACACAGCTCGGCTGAGGACAGGGCTGTCACGGTCTGGCCTCAGACCTGAGCGCAGCTATTGTGGTTTAGTGCAGTTAACTTCCTGCTGTGATGTCTTGGGGATACAAATGATCAGTGTAATCACAGTACAACCAAGGAAACAACATTAGTGAGAAGCAAAATCTGTTTTTGTGAGAGGTGTAAAATAAGACACTGGTTCACAGATTACATGTCAACATTTTGTTTTCACGGTGTCACTTGCTTGTGTTAAATTCGTACATACCTCTTCACTCTCACTGGATTTTATGCCTGGATGCCTGTGCAGCATGTGGTGGCTGCTACATGAGGTTTCTGGTATGACTGTTGTTCTTGAATAGAGTAGGTCAATGTAATCGACTAAATACCAGGACTCTACAGTAAGCAGCAGTGTATCTTTGGGTCTTGCAATAAAAATAATAACCTTGTTAAAACAAATTAATGGATTCAGTCAATACAAATGCTAGAGTGCTTTTACATTAAAATAGGTACAGGAAGTGTTTCAAATATTTATGTTTGACAGATATGGAAATTGAAACTGTGTGGAAAGATAATTTTCACTGTCTATTTAGCTGTGAAGTGAACATGGTATGCAGAGAAATTGGGAGGGCCCTGTCATCGCTGAGAAAGCAAAAAGCATATGCGGTTTGGAGTTAAGGGTCTGTGATATTGACAAACTAATCATGGGATTTTCTGGGATTTTGTCTATGATAATAAGTAGACAATATTTAACATCCTTTGCAAAAGACATTCTAGTCTGTGCTTGTTAACGTGATAATTGGTGCTTGTTGCACCAAAGTTTGGAGACATGAATCATGAAACTTAGGCAGAACTGAGTGACTGAACCATTTTCTGTCAGGCAGTGTTTTTCTCGGGTCTAAACTATTCAAAAGTTGTTTGTAACTATCTCTCCCACTGTGTAATTGGTTACAGCAAGTGTCATGTTTTGCCATCTGTTGCTTTTCATGTCATCATGCACTTTTTGTGGAGAATGATTCTGCTAAACTTCTCAAAGTGTGTATATTCTTCATATTCTTTCGTTGGTTAGTTTTGCAAAAAGTGAAACATGTTATATGTCGAGCTGGCAATGGTAAGTGATTTCCGATGGACATAGTTAGCAGATTGCTGTCTTTAAGCAACAGTCATTGAGGATGATCCACTTTAAACAATTAATCTAACAAGGAGTATTACGAGGCTGAAGGTGTCTGTGTTTTGCCTTCTGTCTGTGTTTGTTCAGTAATTTTTAACTTCACTCAAGCTTTGTTAGGCAGCTTATCCCGGCTCAACTTGTGGCACGGTGGCAATGTATGCCCATTCTAGCACAGTGCATGCACTCTGCGCATACTTTGTAATCTATGCGACATGACAAATTGAACTCGCAGAGTTTCAAACTCCAAATTATACCCTACAAACAAATTGTTGCCATTTGGAAGCAGTGATTGCACCTGTCCCTTCCCTGTGGCTTCAAACACAAATGTAAAGTGGTAACTAGGATTAGGTAATTGAACAGAGACAATATTCCTGCTGAACAACTATAATAAGGGGGTTCATCCCATTCCAGAATTTAGAGCCTGACAAAATCCCTCTCTGCACTTTTCCCACCACCAGCCTCCTTGTTATCACAGTACTATCCTATGGCCAACGGGGGCTCTTTTCAACCTAGTGTATCAGGCAGCTCTAAAGACCTTTGCTAATCTCTTCCCTCAGTTGCCAGGGTGGAAGCACTAGCGGCAAGTTCCCTGGCCTAATCCCCTGCTCTGGCTGGTCTATTAGCCATAAGGCCAGTGGGGCAGGGGGAGGGCCCTAAGGAGATTTCACTGCTTAACGGATGAACAAAATTAGAATGTGGTGATGATTGGATGGATATGTCTTCCTAACATGCTGTTTGGTTGTAATCACATAGTTTGAGATACTGTTTCTCAAATCCTCATAGTTATAAGGGATTGCAGGTAACACTACTTGGCATATGATGCAATCTTACTTTGGTCAGATTGTGTGCAGTAAATCAACAGGAAAATTGCATAATATCCACTGGTTCCACAGTCCTCATTCATTTCAATGTGCATCTTTAAAATATGTTATACGTATATGTACATATAAATGTAAAGCCTCAGCCTGTTGATTGTTAATTCAACTCAAGCTGCTGGCCTGGTCTTCATTATGTACGGTAAAAACATCTGGTTTTATTCAAGGATTATACTAATGACAGATGTAGTGTAAACATGTATATGGAAATGACTTAAAATGTGATGATCGTCCAGGGGTCTTTAAGAACTATGATAAAGGTAACATATTTATTATTTATTGAGCACATTTCATATACAAAACAATTCAAACAGTGCTACATAATATATCAACCACTTAAAATAAGTAGTGTACTGCATTAAAACCAAACAAATAAAAATGTAAAATGTTTAAAGGATAGAAATTGAATTCTGGAAATACATCCAAGATTTGTAATCGTGAGCTCATAGATTAGAAGCAATGTTTTAAAGTCAATTCTGTGACTTCAGAGTGTATGATTACGCAACATTTTTTTAATGTGATTTTTGTTGGGTTGAGGAGATGAAAAATGTTAGGCTTCACCACTCATTGATTTATTTAGTGCACTTACCCCAAAAACCAAAGCAGTAAAGACACCTAGTGACAAACCTAAGTAAATCTGGATGTCAACTGGAAAGCTATAATAGGTAGTTTCATTGTTTTGTATCATTCAGCCTAGTGTAACTATGTAAAGTTGATGGGATTTTAATTGTGTCTTCTCCAGGGGCCAGACTCCGGCTGAATCTGATTTCCAAATCCTGGAGATAGCTCGTAAACTGGAGATGTATGGTGTCCGTTTTCACCCAGCAGCTGATCGGGAAGGCACCAAGATCAATCTGGCTGTTGCTCACATGGGTCTTCAGGTTTTTCAGGTAAGTGTCATTAAAGCTTTCTTTGGTGAATGTGACTTAAAGTCCCTTACATTGTTTCTAAAGTTTATTTCTCTCTTTTTAATATATTTTTGCTCCCAGGGCAACACAAAAATAAATACCTTTAATTGGTCCAAGATTCGTAAACTGAGCTTCAAAAGAAAACGGTTCCTCATCAAGCTTCACCCAGAGGTCCATGTACGTATTGATGAAAGGATTTGTCCTTGTTTACAAATTGACTGTGTTGTATCTCTTGTTTTATTCATGTCTCAGATTCTGTGCTAGGTAGACCAGCATGCTGTGTGATTTCATTCAATTTGTTGTTTATCTTTGTTCGTAGGGGCCTCATCAGGACACTCTGGAGTTTATGATGGCCAGTCGAGACAATTGTAAAGTGTTTTGGAAGATCTGTGTGGAATATCACTCATTCTTCCGCTTGTTTGACCAACCCCTACCCAAATCCAAAGCTATCCTCTTCACCAGAGGCTCATCCTTTAGATACAGGTATTAACCGCTGACACTATACCATCGTCGTAAGTCATCTTTGATGCTAGTCTATAGGGACTATGGTGGCTCTTGTACAATGAAACATAAAAAAGTTGGAGTGGTTTTATTTTTCAGTATTTTTAAATAAAAACTCTTTCTCGACAGTGGAAGGACCCAGAAGCAACTTGTGGACTACATCAGGGAAAACGGCGCTAAGCGAACACCATACCAGAGGTGTGTTCACACAAGTAGTACACTGTTTATTGGAAAGACAGGTTGTTTGCCCTCCTAATTCCTCCCAAGCATTGATAGGGAAATGTTTCCACAATGCGTTGATCATAATTCTGACGTGAAGTTCCTTCATTTTTTCTTCTTCAGGAGGAACAGTAAAATACAAATGTCTGCTCGTTCCCTAGCAACAGATGTGCCAAAACAGGTCAGTGGTGCTGCAAGGTTGATGCATTTCTGTAAAACCCTCTAAATATTGTACTTGATGAATAAACTAAAATAACTCTCCTCTCCTTTATTACTTTCCATTTTCCTTTCCCTCCATTTTCCCCCTTGTCCTGTCTGTGTTGCATTGTTTCAGAGCTTGTCATTCAATGACAGTCTCAGGACCCCAGGCTCCCCTTCCTCCGCTACAGTGTCTTTCCACTCAGCACACATCCTAAGTGTCCTCCCACGGACAGAACTCCAACCTCAGCTGCAGCCTTTTCCCACGCTGAGCCATACTCCATCGCCTTCCCATCAGCACCAGCAACAACAGAAGCAGCCACACCCGCAGCAGCTTCACTCCCCTCTGCAAGCCACCAGACCCCCCAGCCCACCGAAGGAAGAACCTGTCAAGGCCGCTTCCCCATCCCACTACGCTTTTCAAGGTGCCCCTAGCAATCAGGCAGCAGTACACTGCAGCCCCTTGTTTGTGTGTGTAGAGAGTGGCACTTCCCAATCAAAGGCCTCCAAAAATGGCAATGAGGATAATGAGCATGGTGGTAGAAGGGGTCCTGGATGCGTGTCGGGGGGAGGGAAGAGGGGGAAGGGGGTTCTTACACCTGAAGCTTTCGAGGCAGAGCTTTTGCGTACGAAACAGAATCCCATGTTCTCAATGTCGGGCTCACCTCTACATGTCACTGAGGAGTTCATAGATGATGATCCCACTGAAATCTCCTTTTACGGTGGGGGGGCCGAGGCCTACTCTTTTGGTCTTGATGATAAAGTACATCAGTTTCATGTTGTGGAAGAATCTGACCTCAGCAAAAATAGGATCTTTAGTGTTGGCATTGAGGATCTGAATGGTAACACCAATCCCTTCCCTGATAGCATTGTTGGTCACTCTGAGACCAGCTCCTTAGTGAATAACCGCTCAGAGTGCAGTTCCCTGGACAACCTGGGGCTCAGCTCTGCAGGTGAGTCCATGTCAGTGGGTTATGGAGGCCCAGACTCCTCCTCGCTACGCCTGCCTGGCTCTGACATCCAGTCAGAGGCCAGCTCAATGGTCAACTTCCCAGCGTACTCCATACGCTCTGAGAGCAGCTCTGCCGTGCAGTTCACTGACCTGGTGGAGCAGCTCGAGCAGCTCAGCTACCCGCCCACAGCCACTGAGGGCTCTGGGAACGGCAGCTCCGATTCAGACTCTGACTGGGGCTCTGACAGCATCCTCCCCCCTGAGCAGAACCTGTTTTACAGTAATCCCCTGACAGGGAGCAGCGGTATAGAGGGTTTCCTCCTTCAGTGCCACAACCTGCAGGCCCTGGCACTCGCAGACACCTCTGCGTCCCCTCATATTAAAATGTAACATGTCCGTGACATTCTTTAGGCCACAGTCAAGGGCTGTACAATTATTAAAAAAAAAATAAAAAATTCTCTATACTGGGAAGTGGAAGAAAACACGTTCCCTTTGTTAGTTTTCTGCAGCAGCACTTGTTTTTGTATCAGCGATTTGACCTGGTGTCCTTGCTACACCTGCCATGGTACTTTTTTATAATCATTCCTGTCTTCTCATGAAACTCATCTTATCAAAATTAAATATTTGTCTCCTTTCTTCAGATGAAAAATACCACATCTTTGTTATCTACAGCACTCCTATTCAGAGCAAATTTTGATTAGACAGTGATTTGGGTGTATCCCTTAAGTGCAGAATATTTGTGCTTTTACTTTGGAGGCTTATTTTGTTTTACATCATTTAAAACAACCTGGCATCGGAATATCTTGTTAGATTTGCGCCCTGCTTTCTGAATACATAGTGGTTCAACCCAGCATCCACCTTTTGATTTCATTGTCCGATAATGTTTTGAATAAACTAAAATAACTTCTATCTAGGACAAGAAATATTATGATATTATGATTCAAAATATATTTGGTTATATCTTGACCAACAAACAGGCTGTCAATTTTTATAAGCTTAATTTATAGTAAACCTATTCTGAACTATCTGGCTTTGAAATCTGTTATCACAGAAGCTACTTGTTGTGCAGTATTGTGTTTTCCAGTGGTAATCTGTCTCTAATCTAATGTCTAATCTCAGGGTAAAAATGAAACCAATAGTTGTCCAGGTTCAGTGATCCTCACAGACGTGTATTAAAAACAAGACGTGGGGCCTGTTGTTCCATTTGCACTTGTGTGCCTCACTGACATCTACTGGCTGAAGTAGATGGAGCCTTTTACCATCAGACTAGTCCACAGTAAGTAGTGGTTGAAGGATACATTACAAATATTTCAGTGATTAACATTGAGCTTCATGTTTAGTTAGGTTGAAGAATGTAAGCAATGTACTCATGAGCCATTAAGTAGACTGTAAACACCACTCTCTACAAAATGAATGTATCATCTTGCAGATATGTAAGGCCTTGGTAAACATAAATGAACCGTGTACGATAGTGTTTGATACACTAGTGATTGCTAATGACTAAGAATGTATGACATCAGAGTTTGTGACTTCCTGGAGACCCTTTTAAGGATAGCAGGTATTGAGGGCTTTTATTGCGGTAAAGGTTGTTGGTGCTTCGTCTCCTCTGGCGTGCGGCCGTCGGCACGTTTCAGGGTTTTAGTGTTATCCATCTTAGCCAACGTGGTGTTTTGTATATTGGAAGGAAACGGGGGATCTTTTGCACATTAGCTTTGATTTATTTTCTTATAATTTTTCTATATTGGGTGTTTTAAGCATTGATAAAGGAACAAGTGTTATGTGTTCACATGGCGTCACTAATATACTTGCATGCACAAAAGCTTTTTTTCCAATAAGTGTTATCCACCCTCCAGGCTTCAGGATCAGGGGTGTCTGGTCTTGTCAAGTCTGACTTGAAATGATTTTACTGCCCCGTAGAACACAGAAATCTGATATCAGTCTAATCCGCATTGTTTTGTTTCTTCACTGATATCCTTTTCTCTGAGCCCAATGCTCGATTTCCTTTTCTTTGAGCCTACTTTAATCTGCTTGAAGGTAGATTTCACTTGACTCTGCAAACATAGCTCTTTCTTTACATGTTACAGTGTCTTGTTTAGTCAGCAGCACTTGCACCGCAGTGCCTTGAAGCACTTACCGTCACTCTTTTCATGCCGTTTGCTTTTATCTCAGGTTCGTGTTTACTTTAGCAATAGGTTCAGGACTTTTCTGTCAACCACCCCTGTGGTAAAGGAGCTGTGTCAATGAATAGCTTTCCTCTTTCATAAGTCAGAAGACTGTTGATAAATACTCACCTGTTCTCATTGTCATTTTGAAGGATGGCGAGAAGCTATTTTTATTTTTGCTCGTGAAAATAGAGACATGTATTTTCAGAAGTTTTTTTTTTTTTTTTGGGACAGTTGTCTCTGTGTGGAGCGCCACTTTGTCAAACACAGCATCAGTTACAGTAAAACAAGTGGAGTTCTGATGAAGGGTTTGTCTTGATGGTTTTTTTACTTTTTACATTTTGAATTGGTTCCTTGTCTGCCATGTCACACTTCCCAAATCTCAACGTTTAAGATTTAATCCATGACGGGCTGACATTTATAACCAGCTATGCTAACTGCACTTAGGCATCAAGTAATCATCACTTAATCCTGAACTTGTATATTTACTTATTATAAACTACTTGTACTTAATGTTTGTATGTTTTATTCTCAAGAATAAAGTAATCACTTTTGGGTACCATGAATGTCAGATTCTTTTTGAGATGCAGACTGAAATCATACAAGCAATGCTCATGTAATACTCTCAACCCATGTGGTGGGACTTTCAATGGCTAAAATGAAAGATTCTTATGATCCAGAACTAACGACTCACAAGACTTATATAGCACTCTTATAGAATCTGTCAGGTTTGTGGGGATTTCATATATAACCAGATTGAAAATATTGTAGCAACAGTAGCAACATGCTCTGAATTGTCTGTTGTCAAGTTTTAGTGCTCCACACTACGCCAGTACCCTTTTATTTCTGAACAATTGCATCACAAGTCCCTCTGGAGGATTTGAAGTTAACTATGTTAGTGTGGAGTTCTCCACAGTGTAATGGAATTAGAAGCCAGTATTGTCTTGCAACAAGTCAGTACACACAGTTGTTTTCTTTTAATACAGTCTCTTATGCTGTTGGGGGTTGGGTCCTACTCTTACACAAGATTCTTCAAGCTAATTCCAGCTGTGTGTGTGTGTGTGTTTGCGCACTCACTATTTAGACAGGCTTTGTGCCAGGTCATTCCACAGCAAAACCCCCGTCCTCCCGCTGTGGCTCCTGACGTCTGCCCTCTCCTCCTCTCGTGTCGTTCCCCTGTGGGGCTCTTCAGATAAACTATAAACAAACTATTTGCCCTCCAGACGAGCCACATTCTTGATAAGTCTTTGCATGAGCAATTATTTCCGGGTCGAGCTCTGACTTTCTTTTTTTTTCTTTCCTCTCGGCCTTCCCCACTCCTTTTTTTCCTCTCTCTCTTTTTTCTCTCTAATAGAATTAGAAGAACAGCTGTGGTGACCTGTGACTCGGTAAAGAGGACAGCCCAGCGTTTCATCTACTTGTTTTGTCTCCTCGTTTGTTGTGTAGTGAAGCTCTCAGGCAGAACAAAAGCAGCAGGGCCTGTTCTCTCAACTGGAACTGGGCTCGTATAAGTTGGTGATGAATCATTTGTCCCTCTGGTAGACGGCTCTGAAAACAATGGCAGAAGGGGGAAAATGTGGGAACCATTACTTGGCTTTGGTCGACTCGGCTGTCTCCTCTTTCATTTGTGGCCAATATGTGTGATGAACCATTCCACTTGTTTTGTTGAAATGTGCAGTGTTTTTTTCTCTGAGGGGGAAATGAGATAATTAAGGAGAAACAGGTTAAATGAAGATGAAGCTCCAACATACAGTGTTCGATGTTTCTATTCTACTAGTTTCCCTTTGTTTTGAGAGCATCATAGCTGACCTAAACTCGACCCATTACAAAAGTTCATGTTCGGCCTGTTTGGGTAGACTCATTCAACCCTTGTGATTCTTTTATTTTCACTTTTCCAACCTTTACACTGTAATTTGATTTCAGCAGGCAGTTAATTTGACATAAAAGACCCTAATGTCATTCAGTTTAACATTTTCTGTTTGTCCCTCTTCCACAGACTCTGTTGTGGACAGCCCTCAGCTCTCGCCCTTCAACTCCAAGGATCCCTTCTGCCTGTCGCCCTCTTTCCAGATGTCCACCCTCAGCCTGCCGGGCCAGGCCCCGTCGCCCCTGCAAAGCCCCAATCCAAGCGAGGTGGGCAGCAATGCCAGGCTAGAGGAGGAGGAGGAGGGCAGGAGGAAGGTACACTGCTTACATGCCACCCTTCCACCCCCTGCCTCACAATCCATATTTAAAAGAGCAGATATCAGAGACTTAATCTTCCTTGTAAAGTTTCACAGGATAAAAATATAATCTCATAACGAAGGTTGTTCATCCATTAATTTTGTAACTTCCATCTCTATTAGCGATATCCTACCGACAAGGCCTACTTCATTGCCAAAGAGATTCTGACCACAGAGCGGACGTACCTAAAAGACCTCGAGGTCATCACTGTGGTGAGTTCATAATTTTTTTTAACTGGTGCAGTGTTCATGGACAATTTGTGCAGAGCTATAGTGCAGAGTGAAGTTAGAAATTTTTGTGTTCATCCTACCTGGATTTATCTGCAATTATCTGCATGTCGGCTATTCCAGACGTCTGTTAAGTAATCTTCGCCATTAACAATACAAATGTGAATGGTTCTCGATATATGTGTTCTTAAGGCAGATGGATAGATGGATTGATTATATTCTCTTCTTATTTGGATTGACCAAGACAATGTACAAACAATGTGGTTGTTGTGAGGAAAATATAATGAAGCATTATGCATCAAAAGATAGATTAATAAGGATTATATGTTCCTTTGCTCCTCCCAGTGGTTCCGCAGTGCTGTGATCAAAGAAAACGCCATGCCCGAAGGCCTGATGACCCTCCTCTTCTCCAACATCGACCCCATCTATGAGTTCCACAGAGGCTTCCTCAAGGAGTTAGACCAGAGGCTGGCTCTCTGGTAGGTGGTTTTTATGTGTGGTAAGATGTATTGAAACTCCTCATGTCATAGTAACAATTACAAAATGTCTTACCTGTGTTTCAACAGGGAGGGACGCTCGAATGCTCACGTCAAAGGCGACTACCAGAGGATTGGTGATGTGATGCTGAGGAACATGTGTTCTCTGAAGGTGATTTCTTAGCTCTTGAATTAACACCACCTCCTATACTCCTGTTTGATTGACAAACAGTATGTCAATGTCTCATCATCCTTAGGAGTTCACCAGCTACCTGCAGAAGCACGATGAGGTTTTGACAGAGTTGGAGAAGGCCAGCAAGAGGCTGAAGAAGCTGGAAACGGTCTACAAGGAGTTCGAGCTGCAGAAGGTGTGCTACCTGCCCCTCAACACGTTCCTACTCAAGCCAATCCAGCGCCTCATGCACTACAAACTCATCCTGGAGAGACTATGCAAACATTACTCCCCTGAACACCGAGATCACGACGACTGCAAGGGTGAGTTCTCATCCTGTCCACACATCTCGGTATGTTCAGAAGCAAACTTAGCGTTGACCACTTGTGATCAGATCACTCAGGACGAATGTTAATACCTGTTATTATGTTGAAATTGTTTTTAGAATAAGTTGTGGAAAACTGCATATATACATTATAGTCAGATGATAAAGAGGCAGATATGTTACTGGTTTGTCTGTCTATACAGAGGCTCTGAAGGAAGTGGCAGAGATAGCCACTCAACTCCAGAGTAGTCTCATCCGGCTGGAGAATTTCCAGAAGCTGACAGAGCTGCAGAGAGACTTGATTGGTATAGAGAACTTGACGGCTCCAGGGAGGGTGAGTGCAGTGACACAGAGGAGGGGGTAGGGGGCGCTGTGAAACTGGTTAAAAACTGCACATGACATCTAAAAGGCTTCTTCTGTCGTCAGGAGTTCATACGAGAGGGATGTCTGTACAAGCTCACCAAGAAAGGGCTGCAGCAGAGAATGTTTTTCCTGGTTTGTACAAAACTCCAACCACTGTAACTCTAATTCAACATCCTGCAATGATCGCAAACTCGAAAATATCTCTTGACGTGTCTGTCGTCTCTTCAGTTCTCAGACATGATCCTCTACACAAGCAAAGGTGTGACTGCAACCAATCAGTTCAAAGTGCACGGCCAGCTGCCCCTTCATGGCATGATAGTGAGTATCCAAGCTATAACTATAACCTGGAGTGACCTCCAGCACTCCTGCTATGACTCCGAGGACAGTATTAGGCTAGTGATACCCAGTGATGTGAGGGTGTTAACACCCAGGATTTTCAGTATGAGCTGATCAGTGTGGCAGTGTGTTGAGAAGGAAGGGGCTGGGCCTCCTAACTGTGCATGTCTCTGCTTTACTCCTGGATGCAGCTCATAGTGCTGGATGCACCGGTAAGTCCTCTGAGCTCTGCCAGATCGGACGCAAAAACCCAACCCTCCTTCTCCCCATGCTTGTGTAGGCAGATCACCAAAAAACACACTTAGCACGTGACTCAAGACTCATTATCTCAGTCCTCACAACTATCTATTGTAGTTATCTAACCAGTTATGTGAAGTTGTGTTTCCTTCTCCAAAATTGATTCAAGTACGGACAGTGAATGAAAGGCTGAATGAAAGGACGGACGTGGCTTGACTCCATATCTATGTAACTGCTCCAGTAGAGGCTCTTTGGCAGATCTCTCTGACTTGAGACTTTCTGACTCAGTTCCCCCTCTTGTCAGTTCCTAATCTCAAACCACTGTAAACACAAAGCTGTTCAGATCACCATTAGAAGACAGCAACTCTTTCCTCCACCAGACTAAATTTCTCTGATTCTCTCCCTTGTGTGTAGGTGGAGGAGAGTGAGAATGAGTGGTCAGTCCCCCACTGCTTCACCATCTACTCTGCTCAGAGAACTATCGTAGTGGCTGCCAGGTGAGATTTCTCTTCAGCCGTTTTTCAGATGTGAATGTCAGAAAATGTGGTGAGACACTTTCCAGAGTTTGTCTTCCACTCAGTGGGAGATTGTCTGGGTCAGACGAGTTCATAATGACAGGAAAATGTGTGGCGCATTCAGGTGAGGGGTGACGCCTGAGTAGAGCATGCAGGAGGCAGGACATGACTGGCTCGGTCAATTGCGTTCTCACATAAAAATTGTATCAATTCCATAAACATTTCAAGAAAATGTCTGAAAGCAGCTTTAGACTTTAACATATATACAGAACTCTGTAAATGTTGAGACAGATTAATGGACATGCATAAAAAATAAAAAGCTCAATCTAGTAGAGCCTTATGACATATGAGTATTGGCATTTCACTTTGCCGATATTCACTAATGTGAAAACCTTTATTTGACAGTATAAACAATGTGTTTTATTTGTTGTATTACTTACAGTTAAATTGGAAACTATGAAGCCTCAGTTACATTTCTTTTTTCATAAGGGGTTTATGTATCAGTATTGAAATTCTTTTAATCCCTCATATCCATGTCAGTCAGTCTCTACAATTGAAGTTATTTTATAAAAACCCTACATTTGTTCCAATTTAATAAAACAAGATAATGTTAATCCAATTTTAGATTTTAATAATAATACTTATTTATAAGAATCTATCTACTCTTGAAAATTCCTGACAATTAAAACCATTTCAAGGAAAAAAACAACATCTTTACTTAAACAAATTCTGACATGATCAGTCAGACTAATCCTAGTTTCCTTTTGACTCAGTGAAGTTGAGCACAAAAAGTTTTTCTGTGGAAAGAGGGATTGTTCCAGACATGAATTTGTGCATAGTTTTGGTGTTTACCTCTAAATAATAAAGTGGTTTAGATAATCTGGATAATCTGATCATGTGACTGCAGGAATTATGGACAAACGCTCAAAAATGAAACCCAGCTGTTAATGAACTGGCTTTATCCTTTAATAGAAGCCAAACAGATTATATTATTAAATGCAGACCTCAGTTTATTTTTTTATCAGATTTTGAAAGGAATGCTCTTTAATCCAGCTCCCCCTAGTGTCTGGATGAATAACTTCCTTTGAGCAACATGTGTTATTCACTGTTCGTGTGTCTTTTGTTTTTTCAGTTCTAAAGTGGAGATGGGGAAGTGGATTGAGGATCTGAACCTGGCTATCGACATGGCCAGGAAGTCGCATGACAAATCCGGCATCTTCTTCGATCCTGGACTCAGCGATCGATCCAACCGTAAGATTTACCTCAGTATTGTGTCTATACGTACAGAAACCACAAAACATATTGAGTGGAAAACTTCTGTGTTATCTGGATTTTTTGTTACACTTGTGAAAATATTTTTTTCCCCATGGGACATACCAACCACCCAGATGTACAGTTAATCCCTTCCCTCCACACAACTTCCTGTCCCCCCTCCTCCTTTCCCTCTTTCCCCACGGGCCTCCCTCAGGGTCGTCGGACGAGGTTTCTCTGGAGCAGGAGTCCGAGGATGACATGAACTCCTCCCGGACCTCGCTGGACAAGCAGACGCACCACCGTGCAAACACAACCATGCATGTGTGCTGGCACCGCAACACCAGTGTGTCTATGTCCGATCACAGCCTGGCTGTGGAGGTACTCCTCCTCCGCCCACATTAAGACACATGCACAAACATTTTCTCGCCCAAACACTCACAGACCATCACTGGTTGTACTCACACATTAATGACATCAACAGTCCAATCAGTGGCTTCAAGCCAATCGGCTGTCATCACTCTGGTCTCCATCTTGGCATTTTACCTTCTCTTCCTAACTCTTCACATTTGTCCAATGTCCCTCTTTCCCCTGGTGACTGTTAATTTCCTGTGTATGAGTTGTCTCTGTTGTTTACTGAAGTCTGCTCCGTATGCAAATAATTTCCATAATGTGCATGAACGAGAGGTTCTGTTATTTTTCCCCCTGACACTAATATTTTCACTTCACAGAACTGGAAGATTTCCTAACGGGTTTCTCTTCATCCCTTTTCTTCTTCCTCTCAAAGCTAACATGCTAACACTTTTCTCTGCACCCTCTTTTCTCTGCCTTTTCACTCTCTCAGTCTACGGCTCTCCAGCTGTTTCCCCAGAGCTCCCTCCTCGCTATCTCCTGGGCCAAGGCCAAAGACCAAACACCATCACACATGTTTGCTGGTACCGAAACCAGAACCTCTCTCTTACTGATTACCTGCGCATGAATCAGGTACTAGAGTCACGGGCCACAGCAGAAAATAAAAAGACAACAGGGTTCATAGTACTTAGTCGAGTATTTAAGCTCATACTTTATACCTAGTATACTTACTCATACTTAATGAGTTTTAATACATTAGGTTTATGGATAGATTGTATTTGAAGGGCAGTCCGTTTTATCTGTAATGATAAAATATAGATTACAGGTTTGGGCAAGAAACTCAAACATGCAGGTCGGAAACATTAAACTACCCAATTTATTTAGCTTTAAGTCATTAATAATCCTTCATTGTGTAAGAAGTGGTTTTCTTAGTGTGCATTAGAGTTCAGTTGAACATAGACTTTTGGCTGTGAACTATGAAGGATGTTTACCACAGTCAGTTGGGACTCCAACTTTTGACCTATATTTAACTAAGTGTTTCTGATCGCTCATCTTTATGCCTTTTATTGACCTATTTTAGCAGCTATTACTTTAGTGAGCGCAATGTTATCTTCACTGAATATATAGCAGGACAATAAAACCCAAGTTGCATTAAACCCAGTGTTTATTTCCATATAAACATTTGGACAAACATAAACACCCAAACTTGGTCAATAAAAAGCTCACTCAGTTAATAATACAGGTCAGTGCAGCAATCTTTGTAACTGTAAGTGAGACATATTTTTAGTTTTTAATTTTCCTCTTGTTGTTCCTCTTGAGTGTTTCATATATAGTATAGTATATAAAAGCTATGTAAGTCAGCATTAAAGTGAGTTCCTCTCCTGAAACACCTCGTCAGTCACCAGACAGGGACAGTGTGAGGACAGTGATGTGTTTTGTGAACATTAGAGCATGTCAACCTTTTTAAGTAATAACACTAATTCAAGTGATCAACCTCACTATGAGCATAATGTCTGCTCTAAAGCACAGAACTGACAGAAGCATGATGAATAGATGAATATAACACACTTAATTATGAGGTTAACACATCACAACCATAAATCACTGACTGTTGTTTTGAATGTACGAACCTTAATTCCAGTCATTAAATTATTTCTGTCTCACCCATGTTCTTTCTGTTCTGTCCTCAGAACCAGCTGTCAGGGTACCTCCTGAGGAAGTTCAAGAATAGTAACGGCTGGCAGAAACTCTGGGTCGTTTTCACCAACTTCTGCTTGTTCTTCTACAAGACTCACCAGGTCAGCCCTCACATCTTTGCATGTATTTTTTCTCTGGACCCAGTAAAAACATGGTGAGAGAGACTGTTGCTGTTGTTGTTTTACAGGACGACTTCCCGCTGGCCAGTCTGCCCCTGCTCGGCTACACAGTCAGCACCCCAGAAGAGTCTGATAGCATTCACAAGGAGTACGTCTTCAAGCTGCAGTTCAAGTCCCATGTTTACTTCTTCCGAGCGGAAAGCGAGTACACATTCGAAAGGTACAAGCAGATTCACTATTTCATCATGTATTCCATCCAACGAAGCTGTCGCACACTTCACAGGGTTATTAGATAACAATAGTTTTAAATGAAAGCCGTTTTTAGAAATGAACACAGAAGAATGTCCACACAATTGAAACCGGAGTTTGCCTTTCACACATGAACAACTCAGGAGATTCTCAGAACACAGAAATCTCCGGAGCGTTCAGGTGACCGGAAACAAACTCTCTTGACATCTTTGTCGGTGTCTTCTACGTGAATGTCCCCGCTTTTTCATCTTGAGATATTTCTATTTCTTTTCTTTATTTAACATTTTTGCGTCTGTTGCGTGTTAGAAAGGTCATCGACACACCATCGTGGTAAAACATCCAGAGGATCTCCTGCTGTGTTCTCAAAAGGGCTCATTTGCACATTATCCAGAGTTTTTACTAGGAGGCTGGCAGGAGAACCTCCGTGGAGCCTCTCACTCGGACCTTTTTTGCGTTCTCACAAACAGCCCCTCTGGAGAATGTCAGGAGATTCTCCAAAGTTCAGCGAATGTCTGAAAGCAGTTTGTTTGACGCTGCATGCCATTCTTCTTCACAGATGGATGGAGGTGATCAAGAGTGCTGCCAGCACCACGGGACGGATGAACCTGCTCATACCTAAAGGAGGTCCCATGGAGATGAACGGAAAATGAATCGTCATGCGTCCAGAGGCTGGGCCTCTACGACGTCAAATAAACTCAGACTCACTTCCTATTAACACAGAACTGAACATTTTGACATTAACAAGTGGAGACTGAAAGTTGCTGCCAGTTTTAAAGTGTTAACGTTTCTCTGCTTAACTTCTCTAAAGGGCTGTGTATTTTTTTTGTCTGTGTTTCATGGTGTAAATGATAACATTTGCTCCAGTATACAGGATATAATGAAAGGGAGACTTGTACATTATGATCTAGGTTTTTTTCTTTTATTTTTTTTGCTTGTGTGACGCTCAGTTGGGCTGTTCATATAGACTGATACAACAGGAGATACTGATTTATGGGACCAAATCCAACACAATGGGCTTAAATTTCTGCTTTTTCAAGGACTTTTTTTCCACTTGAAACTTTGTCTGGTTCGTCACTGAGCGAAAGCAAACATGTTATACAGTATGTGGAAAAATGAAGGAATGGGATGGTATGTGCTCTCTTCTTCTTTGTACTTTGAAGAGCCAGAGGTGTGTGTGCGTGTGGGGGGGGGGGGAGTGTGTCAGAGACAGAGATGGAGGTGAGGAGAAAGTTAAGGAAATGTTAGAACAGGTTTGAGATGCGAAGCCGTTCAATTCTTGGGAGTTCTGTGGGAACATTTCAATAATTCATGCTGCTGTTGGGTTGAAGACGCAGGCAGTTTGGCTTCAGACAGAGTGAACTTTTCACAGGATTTATAAACTGTCGTAGTGTTAAGTTAAGATTTTCTTCAGGCCAGTCCACTTTATTTGCCTGTTCATGGAAGGATGCAGCTTTTGTTTGAAATCACTTCGAGCGGTTCTGCTCAATACTCCTGATTAGTTAGGCAGCATTATCGCCCGTGTTGTGGTACATTAATCTCAAATATAATCTTTTGTCCTGTTATTAATTTTTGCATAGGGCTAACAACTCGAGGAAATACTGTGCAGTTGGTTGCTCTAGATTTTACTCATGACAGACTGCAGATTTTCCCTCTGAAAGCAGAAGAACGTATTTTGAAGTAACTTCTTGGTGCTTGTGTCTCTGTGTTTGTCAAATGGGAGCAGACTTATGGGATGCTGAGGACACTTCCAGTTATTTAGTGTGCTACATGCAATCATGGTATATTTGGGAAATATTTTTTATGAAGACTGGAACCTTTGCTCTCCGTTTATGTGCGTGTGCGTGTGTGTGTGCGTGTGTGTGCAGAAAAGCCAACTGTGTAGTCCCACCTACACCCGCCTCCGGAGCATGTGACGGACAGTGATGATGGAGGTCATCAACGTCTTGACATTGTGTGTGTGTGTGTGTATCACTGACTCTGTTGCACAGTTAACATTGAGTATGTTACTCCTATTTATTGTTTAGCATGTCATCAGGGCCATGCTCCTGAGTGCCCTCGTGTAGTCTTCATGTTATACCAGTGAAAACCTAACGAATAAACCATCATTTCAGTCAGAGTTTGTGTCTTTTGTTTAAGCAATTTTTTCACACTGTGATTTACCAGAAAACATCTTGTCTCCAGATGTCAAGCAAACATCTGGTGGTAGACTTGTGTATCTGAGGTGTTTACCTCAAGGGACTTTACACTCTGACTAAAAAAGATCTTTCCTGTCTGCAGTATACGGAAATATTGCCATTTTTAGCCTGTAGTTAGCATCATCTTTTAAAAATAACACCAAATATGATGAAAAAACTATGTTCAATAACAACTATTTATAAAAATCACAAATAAGACCAATTTAAGCGATATGAGAGCCACTGATTTGTTGTCAGAAGGTGGCCTCCTTTCCCAAGAGCAATTTAGTTTGGAGTTGAATTCACGTTACCGCAAGTTAATTAACACGAAAAAGGCATCAGGCTTGGCTTTTGATTGGGTTATTTATATACAGTATTTTCACAATTAATACTCAAGATCCATGAATTATCTACACTCACAATGTAAATGTTTCCTGACCCATGCTACACCCTTCCAGCAAGTTTCATGCAAATGCATTCACTTTGTTTCAGCGTAATCTCAAACCAATAACAATGATTTGACTCACCGTTGACTTAAAGGGTAAAATGTGAAATGATGCTGTCAGTGTCATCAGACCAGAATCTGCAGGGGTCATTTTCTTCAGTTTACACTGCAAACACAGCGATAAGATACAGAAGCCAGTATTTAATATGATGTAGAAAAAGAATGGCAAGAAAACTTTGTTGTGCTCCTTGAGCATGCTACGTTACTGGAAGTATAGATAAAGATGTTTGTAGTCCGACACTGCAGTCATCCCTTCAGTTCGTACAACACAAAACTATGATTATATGCACTGTACTGCAGCTACTTTATCATCATTGCGCTTAAGATATTCAAATAATTACATCACTCGTATGTTAACAGTAATAATATAATACTATAATGTTGTTTTCATCATTACACTAAACACTAAAACACAAATGACAGTACTGCAGATATTCTACATTGCAACAGTTCTGGAAAGAGTTGTTTTCGCTTAATCTCAATTACTGGAAAGTTGTGTTGCAATGCTGCACAACTGGATCATGTTAAAATCCATTTTAAGTTTGGCAGAGGTGCTGCACAAATGCAGTGATCTGTGCAGCAGCAAAGAAGCACTAAACCATGAGCTTACATCAGGTGATTATTGTGATTCCCTTTTTTCTACTCTGGATGCAATAGCAACATTTTGCTTCATAAGGAAAGAACAGTTTCAGAAACACACACTGAAACTTGTGTAAAAAAAAACTGAAGCTACAGCAACAGTGAAATACTTTAACACCTCAAGTGATACAGTGAAGATTGATCATCTATTGTAACCTGTCGTAGAGGTTAATATGCTGGAAGGTAAACGAGAATGAGTCCAGATAATAACGAGTCTCATTCAGTTTTTTCTGGGATTGAGTTGTTAGCTCTGTGTTATTGGTAAGGTTCCGCAGAAGATTTGAGCAGTCACACACAAAGCAGGGCATTCCTCAGGCATGTCCAAACAACGAGAGCACTGGGTGGGGTGGCTTCCCCAGAACTGCCAATATCACTCGTCTGCCAAGAAAATCTGCTCACACAGTTTTCTGTCAGGGAGTGGAGAACGCGTGTTCTCTCTGATGTGCTCATGACATAGGTTGCATTCAGAACTCAGACAAAGGAAATAGTTCCTTATAATGGCTCAATCTAATCACCACTACAGGGAGCACATAATGACTGACCTATCTGAACAGAAACACCATATGATAAGTCCGGAGGCGTCTTGTGACTGTCCTGCATAGAGAGTGGAAACAGGCATAGCTATCAAGCCATCCTGGCTTCATACACTACTACACAACAAAGACTCACTCATCAATGTGTTACATCTCATCTCAGCTTTATTTAAATTAAGCTATTAAACTATTGACACACCAATACACGTCATATGGGTTATACCCTGCAGCTAAATTTACATTTACTGCCAAAATAGTGTACATTACAATCTAGGATGGCGAATTTATAATAGAATGAGCAGCAGGTTTTGCATGTATCTCAAAATGCTTTACACAGGCCAGAGCTTTGCAGACAATACAAAACAACTCACTGACTCACAGTCATTAGTCAGTCTCTCTGAACTTCTGCCCAAGAGAATAACCCTGATGATGTCATCTGTGGCACACCCACTGCAAGTCACTCGTTAAGGAGAGATCAGTGAACCGATGCTATTTGTTGCATGATGATGCTTTATCCAGTTTCTTTGGAGCTTGACCATAGACTGTATATAAAGATGGGCGAGATGACGGCTCCCCAGGATAGATCGTAAACCCTGCCTCCTCCATGTTAGTGAACGGGACATGGACAAAACTACAAAGTCTAAGTAAATAATTTACTCAAATTTGGGGCAGTTCTTCTTACACTCTTGTTATTTACTGTAATTTGAAAAAGTTATTTTACATTATAAACATAACAGCATGAAACTTAAAGAATTACAGCTGAGACTGACTCCCAATTGGTTGAGCGTATGTATCGACTAATTGGGAGCAAGCTCCCCCCCTGATCCCTGCTGTGCAGACTTTGGCTCCAAATGCACAAGATGGCGATGTTCATACCCAGGGTATTTTGCATAGTGGGAGGAAGTGGAGACACATTGTCTTTCTTTGTGTCCAGTCTATGAGCTTGACCCATACCAGGCTCTACAAGTCAGTATATCTCATTCTCTGTAGGTTTAACCATTGATTGTTTTTTTTTGACGCACAAGTCCCCAAATTTCACAGAGGAGCAATAGTAAATTGTTGGAGTAAACATTTAAAACAAAAGGACTTCATTTCCTGCCAGATCTTTATTTATTTACAGTTTTTCAGTTCAGTTTAGTTATTTTTGGTCACCAAAGCATAATTATAAGGATTAGTCACAAAATAGCAAGATAATTAGTTTACAAGAAAATAAATAAAGGAAAAAAGAAATGTAGGACAAAAAGGTGAAGGCTGAAGCATTAGCATATCTTGCCAACCCTTCATATGAGAATGCATCCTGCAACCCATTAGCCCCTAAAATGAATTAAATCAAACAGAAATATACAACATTTGGAATTTTAAACATAATGAATTCATTGTTAGCTAATTGTTAACCATCTTGTCTTTGTAGTTGAGCGACACTTACCACTTATTGAAAAGTTGGTGGCTTTTCACATTTTCCTATTTTCTCCTCTCAATCATTTCGCCATATTTTGTTCATTCAGTAACCATCAGAAGATTTGTTTTTTCTGTGCGTGTGACTCACATTTTTTGGAAAACACTCCACTTCCACAGAATTTGAGGCTTTCAGCCTTCACAAGTCTGCTCAGCATGATTCAGACAGAAGAGCAGTGTTCTGACTGCTTCCTGTGTGAGCTGAGCATCAGTGGATGTGTGGTGCATTCACACCTTTATCAAACGTAATGAACCAGTTACTGCTATGTGTTTGGAGCTGTGATGGGAGCGGAGGGCGGTGCTTGCCTGCTTATCTCCGCCTGTGGGCTCCACAATAAGTGCCCATAGAAGGAAAGCCTGTCACACTATAAACTGGAGAGCTTCTTTCTCCCGCTCCTGGAGAAGCAGTAAATCCTCAGAACAGGACAGTCAGCGATCAAAAGCACTTTTCTGCTGTGTGACAGGTCAACATGGAGCCAGTGTAGGATGGTGGTGGAGTCACGGGGCTTCTTGTAGCCTCTCCACTCTCTGGTAAGTTTGATTGTCCTTATACATTTATTATGAGAGATGGGTTCATATATAACTTTCCTGGCCTGGTGTTCAACTTTCTTCCTCTGCAGTCTGTGCTTTACATAACCCGCAGCCCCCTCCAGGCGATCAGACAATACCCACTAACTAATCCCCCTGTTTGTTATGCAGGATCATCTCCTCCTCAAATCCTCCAGAGGAGCAGTTGGAGGACGAGCGCCGCGGTGTGAGGCGGTGGAGGCGGGGAGGTGAGCAGCTGCTCCGCGGCGGATGAGCCGGGCATGGAGATGTTGCGCCGCTCCTCTGTGTTCGCTGCGGAGGTGTTCGACCGCTCGCCCACCGACAAGGAGCTGGTGTCCCAGGCCAAATCGCTGTGCAGAGACTACATCCATTCCAGGCTGAACCGTGCCGGCATTGGCAGGTCCAGCTCCGACCACGGGCTGGCTGCATCAGGCGGGACGCTGGGGGAGACGTCGTCCGTCCTGCTGTGGCTGGGTGAGTCTTTCATGATAAGTTTTAACTAAACCATAAAGTACATGTATATAGCTATAGAGTCAAAGGGTCATACACATGTCAAGACAAAATATTTCATACTAAGTCTATATTTCATTACTGAGGGTGCAAAGGTCAAGTCCTTGGTACTTCCTTTGGGTCATGGGGCCTAAAGTCTGTTTATCATTTTATAACTTTTAA